GGCGTGGAGGAGAAGATAATTGGCCCCCCCCGGGGGAGACTAAAAAATTCTCCCCCGGAGGGGTTTTTTCCCACCCGCCGATTCAGGCGGGTAGTGTAGACCTAGCCTAACTCTCCTGCCCCGTCCCCATCACACACTGTATAGTGATCTGTTTCTGAAGCTGTTCCACAGAACATGCAATATCACCATTATTGTGTGAAATGAACCACAGGCAGTGAACAAAATTAATTTTAATGGCTCTGAACAAATTACATACAGGATATGAATGTTTGTATCTTTGCGAGATGCAATCTTTATAGCTCTGATTGAAAAGATACATGCAGGAAAGAGGGCAGATTTCCAAATAAGCTACAAATAGCAGGATAATTTATTTTTCATTACTGTGATGGGGCGTCTGCCCCACACTGGTGGAGAAAGGGTTAAAAGCAGGCCTGGGGAGGTTGCGCAGCAGACAGCCAATCAGAGAGGGGCTGCAATGAGCAGCCCATCAGGGCAGAGCAGGCTCATATATAAAGAGAGCTGCAGGGCAGAGGGGACAGGGCAGAGAAGGTGCTAGGGCTACGGGGAAGTGGCCAAGGGAAATGGATGGCAGAAGTTGAAGTAGTGGTTTTTTAATCTCTTGACCACCCTAATAAAAAGGTGGGTATGTGTGATGTGAATTGTGGAGCCCCAGTCATAGACCAGAACTTCATTGTTTTAAGCACTGTACAAAGAACAAAAGCACTGACAGTCCTTGCTTCCAAAGAGCTTATAGGCTAAGAATAAGAGTCACAAGTTTCTACAGACAGATGGGGAACATATGTTCATATATGCCAGTAGTTCTTATTACAACAAGGTCTGCGATATTGTTCATAAATATGTATGTTCAATAAAGTTGTTGCTGTTGCACTGCAGGTCCAGGATTGTTTCCTAGCTGAATAGCTCTAAATTGGTTCCTTAGAAACCAATATAAAAACAGTGCTGTCCCTGTTGCTCTACCCAACCAGGGACACACAAGGCAAGATGATGCACACTTTCAGCTAATCCACACAATCTCTCTCTCTCTCTCTCTCCCCTATTCCAATTTAAAACTGTCTGTGATTGAAGGATTGCTTCTCTGCAGGCTTGGGGGAGAATTGGCATGGGGTGGCCAACTTCCACCATGTGCTTCATGCTCCTGGGCTTAGGACGCTAGGCAGAGGTGAAAGTAAGCTGGTACGCCCCGGTACGGCATACTGGCAAGAGCCGGTATTCCGTACCAGACCGGCTTTTCCAGGCGGCAATTTAAAGGGCCTGGGGCTCCCAGCTGCGGCTGAAGCCCCAGGCCCTTTAAATTGCTGCCAGAGCCCCGCTGCTGGAGCCCCAGGTAGCGGAGGTGGCCGGGACCCCTAGGGCTCCGGCAGCGATTTAAAGGGGCTCTGCTGCAGTAGCGGCGGCTGGGAGCCCCTGGTCCTTTAAATCACCGCAGGAGCCCCGCCACCACTACCCCAGGGCTCTGGCAGCAGGGTTCCAGCAGCAATTTAAAGGCCCCGGGGCGGTAGTGGCGACTGGAGCCACGGGCCCTTTAAATTGCCGCCTGAGCCCCGCTGCTGGAGCCCTGGGATAGCGGCAGGTGGGCTCTGGTGGCAATTTAAAGGGCCCGGAGCTCCGGCTGCTACTACCGCCCCGGGCCCTTTAAATCTCTGCTGGCTCCGGCAGTGGGACTCAGGCGGTGATTTAAAGGGCCCAGGGCTCCCAGCCGCCACTACCACAGCCGGAACCCAGGGCCCTTTTAATCTCGATTGAAAGGGCCCGGGGCTCTAAAAGCCCCGCCTCTTCCGGTTGAGGCCATGCCCCTTCCGGTTGAGGCCCCACCCCCTGCTCAGGACTCTGGAGTACTGGTAAGTCCTTTAAGTTACTTTCACCCCTGACTCTAGGTCAGTGCCTGAATTTGGTCCTAAATTCACATAGCTCAAGTGAAAAGAAAATTGAAGTTGGGCAGATTTCTATGAACCAGGGGCTTTGTAACTATCTGACAAACAGTAGATATTATTCATTTTCCAGCATTTCATCTCTATTTTTGCTTTCATAAACAGTACAGGCTAAAGATGTCCCTGGCTAAACCCACAGGCGTTGGGGAAATTACACAAGGAACAAATTTGTCTCTGCATGTTTTTCTATGATCTTTAGTCTAGGCTAAATGGAACAAATTTAAAACTCTCCTTCATGATTTATTCTTCTTGTCAGCAAAAAAAAATCTTCTTCGCTTGTCCATCTGCCAATAAAAAAAGGAGAAAGTATGTATTTTAGATAGATGGAAAGAAATAGTTCCCAAGTCTCTGACAGCACAGTTGAATATTCTGTATATTTACATTCATTAATACTTGAAAACTAGCAATTACACAGATTCAGTGACTGGAACAAACCACCTCCAGATGTTAAACTTCTAAATGTACTTTTATGTATTTAACCATAGTCTCATGTTAGAGATTAAAAAGTTCTATTGGGCCCATCTGGTCCATCCAGTCCTGACTGTTTTATACAGTAGTTATTATACAGTAGTTAATGCATTGGCCACTGTAGTTTTGTATGTCCAAACCAAGGGTCCACCACCTCTCTTGAGAGAATATTCTACAGCCTAATGCATCTCCCTGCCAAAAAGTTCTGTTTTCAGGATATATGGTGATTTCTTTTCCTTTATCTTGCCTGTAATAGGAATACTGCCTATAACAACAAGCTATAATTGCGAGAAATGTTCATTTTTGGTCATCCTGATGCCTGGCTTTTTTTTTCTTTTGATATCTAATCACAAGCTAAAGATGTTTATAACTTTGAGCTTTCTGTCCTGAATGGAATCCTTTAAACAACCCAAATCATGTCCTAAGTGCCTAGAGGTTTAGGACTTTGGAAATTTGCCTGAGGAAAACTGGATCTGATCCTTTTGAATTATTCTGAATGGTACTTAGGTTTTATTTTTAAAGTCTCTTAATTGTACTGTACCTTCTGGTTTGGTTTTGCTTCTGCTCCCTTCACAAGGTCTAGAGGAATTTGCTCATACGTGTTATCAGGAGCAGGAATTTGCTTTGCAGATGAGCCTTTCTGGAAATTTTCAGGGATCTTTTCATATGTATTTTCAGTACAGTTCTCTGTTCTGGAGGATCTTGTGTTCAAAGACACCTCATCATAAGTATCATTGGGTTGTACTAGAGAAGACTCAGAAGCTTGATCATGGGTAGATGACATTGGCCGTCCGACAGGAATCTGTTCATAAGTATTGTTTCCATTATCAGAGCCAGAAGCAAAAGGCTTACAAGCTTTCACTTTCTCAATCTGCCCATATGTGCTATGTGTCGATGAATCATAAAGGATCTTGTTGTTTGGTTTTCTAAGCTCTTCATTGCTTTGGAGGGAGGTTGCATAGGTTGCAAATAGCTGTTTTGAATCTTGGGACTCCACAGAGGTCCTACCTTTAATGGGTAACTTCGGAGACAACTTAGGGGGTGTTGTAGCAGGAGTACTTAATGTCAACTTCTTTGTGTCTGCAGAAGTTGATGGACAAAGGGATAGGGAATGGACCCTTTGACCCCAAGGAAGTGAGGAATTGCTTTTGCCTTGCTCGAGCTTAACTTCAGAATAAACAGTTTCTGTAGGCGATGGTTTTATAAGATCAATTTTTTTGTCATAAAAACGTTCGGCTTGCTTAGCCAAAGCATACACCGAGCTGATTTTTTTGCTAGGAGAGTAGTTTGCTTGGTCTGGTTCTCCTGGTTTTTGCTGGGTGTCACCTTGTGATAAACAGCCTGATTTCTCAATGAGGATTTTGTCAGTAGCAGAGTGGGTCTCCAAACTAAGGCCTCTGCCATTCATATGGTGTTTGTTCAGCTCTGCATATACAATGTTTCCTTGATCATTTAAATCTTGCTTGAATGTCTCCTGCATAAGCAAGCTGCTCCTATCCGGCAGTGGTGGGGCTATGTCTGGATCCTGATATGATGGAAAGGAAAGAGAGGAACATAATTTTCAGGAGTCAGTAATTAATATAAAATGCAAGGCATCAACAAAGGTGATGAGATACATTCAGACCATGGTTACTCCCAGGCAACTTCACAGAAATCAAAGAATCCTTAGGCATTTTAAAAATCCTGTAGCACTTACTACATCCTTACTTAGATCCGAGTCCTTCCTCAGAACTCTTATTGAAGCCAATGGGGAATTTGGCCTGATTCAGAATAATTGAATCAGGCCAAATCAGAATTTGAGATTTTCAAGGCAACATAGGGGACTTAGCTCATTAATTTTCCAAGGAGGATGTATGGTTACATTCTCTCTAGTATTTCTCTGAAAATCTCAACCAGCAAGAATTTTGGCCTGTCTCTAGAAGTCAGTTCCTCACCCCTGAAAAGCAGCAGCTGTTCAGCAGCTCTCTACCTTTTTTTTTTGTGGTGGATGGGGAGGTCAGACGTGGGCCTTAGTGCACTGTGGAGAACCACAGAACCAAATGTTCTACTCTAAGTAAGGGGTCACCAGAGCCATACAGGAGAAGAGACCATCGCCTCCTTGATCTGTGACTTGATGCCTCTGCTTATGCAGCCCAAGATTGCACTGCTTTTTTGATGCCAAGTCACATTGCAAATTGATATGTAACCTGTCCACAATCACTGCTAGATCCTTCAGCATCACTGCTTTCCTATGACACTTCTGGGAAAAACAGGGGATATGTGTTTATAGGATTACATTCATCCCCGTGCGAAAGGCCAGTACAAGGCCTGTGTACAACTTAAGTCCCACTTAAAGCTCTATTTTGAGTACCCAGGCCTTACACCTGGACCACTGCATGGGGTGAACTTCACTCTTCACTAGTGGCCAAAAATATGATCACATTTTGTTTGCCTAGTAAAGTCACCTCTGGCAGAAGCTGAGAATGGATGATAGGGGATGGATCACTTGATGATTACCTGTTCTGTTCATTCCCTTTGAAGCACTGGCAATGGCCACTATTGGAAGACAAGATACTGGGCTAGATGGACTTTGGTCTAACCCAATATGACCATTCTTATGTTGACAGAAAATAATTCCAAGGGCGATGTTACAATGTTACTGAATCTGTATTTCTGATTCTGAAACATCACCAAATTGGTACGGCACTTCCTGGAACATGGTCGCAGCACAGCAGGTCACCCTAGCGACACTAATTAATTCAAGATACCTGCTGTCTCTGCTTCAAACAAGTCCCCAACAGTGGGACATTACTTTTGCATTCTGCATAAAACCTACCTGGGAGTTAAAGTTCTTTCTTTCTCCTGATAAGTTCTTGTGCTCTTTCTTTGACTTTGGAGGTAGAGAGGTGGCTTCCTTCATTAGCACAGTGGTTTGTGAGCTGCCAGACGCTTGCCTTATCAGCAAGGGATTGACTTCTCCACTGTTTGATTTACTTTGCTTTGAAGAGGTTTGCTGATCCAAAGCGATCTCATCATATAAACTGTTCTCAATTGGCTGTGGGGGAAAAAAAATAGTAGTTAGTTACTAAAACACGTCATGAATAACTACTATGGTGGTAAGTGGGATGTTCATGCCTTTCCTGAGAGATCAATAGCATGAACTCTTCACTTTTTAATAATGATATAAATAAGTTCAGTTAGCAACTTTGAATTATTCATTCTGCATAAGGCAATACCTTCTTAAATAGCTTTATATAATACTCCACAAGGAATGTTAGGAACATCAAATTGCTGTGCCGGAACAGACCCATGGTCCATCTAATCTGATACCCTATTTCTGACAGTAGTTGAGGTGGGATGCTTCAAGAATCAAAGCCTCAGGAATTGTACACACTACCACTTATGTTGGTGCAACATATGTTGCTTAGGGGTGTGAATAAGCCATCCCTCTGTGCAACATAAGTTACACCAACTTAAGCACTGGTGTGGACAGCGCTATGTCCTGCCAACACAGCTACCACCTCTCATGGAGGTGGAGTAGTTATGCCGACGGGAGAGAAGTCTCCCATTGGCATAGAGCATCTTCACCAGACGTGATGCAGCAGCATAGCTGCATTGGTTCAGCTGCGCTGATGTAGCGCTCCTAGTGTAGACTAGCTTTCAGATGCACCTATTTGCACTGGGGGATATTTCTTCTTTTTGTTTTGTGCTGTAGAAATAAGATGTGCAGGTAATCTGAAATTACAGCCAAAAAAGGCCAAATTCTGCTCTTAAGTAGTTCAAATCTTTAGCAACTCCCTTGACATCAGAGGAGCTATTTATGATTTACACTGGTGAAAATGAGAGCAGAACTGGGACTAAAGTGTATCTATTCTCCATGTCTGATAACTACCTATGGGCTTAGATTAGCAAGAGCCTTTGACAGCAGTGAATTACCAGCAACATCCACAGTGAAAAGAGTGTTTCCTGATGGGCCTCTGATCATTGAGACACTGATGTTCTCTGCACTAAAGCAACAGTGCTTATATTTTAACATTCTTTTCTTGAAACATTACAGAACTCTAACACAACAGCAACCAAAGCCTGCAGCCTCAGCTGCCATGGGCCCCATTTTCCAATACAGAGGAACTCTTTAGTCATACCCATGTGCTTACACAATAACAGCTTCTTCATATATCCTTCCCCTTATTAGTAAATAAATAAATAAACTTCTGTTCTTTCTCCATCAAACTATTCCTCAAAGATTCAGCAATGTTCAGTGAGTCGTGGGGCTTAACTACTCTACCACTGTGTGTTTTTATGGGAGTTGTATCAGGCCAGTCAGCAGACTATACTGAAGATGTAGCTGCTTCTTGTTGTAGCCGACATCATTAGTAAGTGAGCCCAGTGGCTCTGTGCAGATGGGTATGGCCCTAGACAAGTACACAGATATTGTGATGGGTGAGTACACAGAAGAATGTGTCTGTGAAAACTCAGATAAGTCATTTGTTCAGTGGATCACTGGAAGCAGCAACAGGTGTTTGTGTTTTTGTTTCAGCAAGTGTCCTCTGACTTAATCTAGTATGATCTTGGGACAAGCAGGTATCTGACCTCAGCCCTGTCTCCTCAGCTGCCATCAGTCCAAATTCTAACAATTTCTCCTGGTTTAAACGTCCTTGGGTATACAGCAGTTTTGGAACAGTGATAGTCTTTGTTTTTCCTTTTTATTAACTCTCACATTTGTTTGTGAGTTTCTCTTTGAGCTGTACCCAGATGGGGAAGTTTTTGTCCTGATCTGACATCCCAGCAGTAATTTAGCATGTAGCATATCGCTTTTTAACAGTGTTGCCAAGTAATTTAGCAAAATAATGAGAGAACCTTCCATTGTATGTGTAGTCTTTAACAACTTTGTAAAAAAATTAACTCCATACTCTACCAGTTTATTATGCTGAGGGTATGTAGCACTGCAGGTTACATGATGAAATCCCAAATCTTCTGTGAAGGCCTTAAAATCTTTGCTGGCAAACTGAGATCTATTAGTTTTCACTATTTAGAAATCCCAAATCTAACAAAATAGCTCTACGCTTTAAGATCATCTACACTGATGTGGCCTCCTTTAGCTGAGCCACCTCTACATAGCTTGAATATGCATCAATGCCAGTTAAGTATTATCTGTCCTCTAGGATTAAAATATCTACAGTGTCCCAGACTCCAGCTAATGTGCCTATACTTTTTTTTAAGGTAGGGATGATCTGTATATTTGACACGTGACACAAGCATTTACTATGTGAGTGACAACTATGCTTACTCCTGGCCAATATATTGCTTCTCATGCCCTCCTTTTGCATTTTCCATTTCTATATGCCCTCATGAATGAGCCTTCACATTTATTTTGAGTACAAATGGAATCACAAAACCCTTTCCTAGAAGGAGAACACCATCTGGAATTGAGAGAGAATGCCTGCAATATACACAGTGGTTGGCCATGAACAATTTTTTCCCTCTGGA